TACAGGTAGCTTTTGTTTCCTGTACCCGGCCGGACTAACAGGAAGTGCACACACTTAGTGTGCACTTCCTGTTAGTCCAGCCGGGTACAGGAGACAGCTGCTCCCTGTACCCGCCGACTATACAGGGCTCGGCCACGCTACAGCAAAGGAAGCTGACAGGAGGGAGCGCTGAGCGCTTCCCTCCTGTCAGCCCCTCTCCTCAGGTTGCGCCCGGGCAGTGCGGTCCGCCCTCATGGACGCACCGCCCGGGCAAAGCTGCAGCCGCCTGAGGCTCACTACAGAGCACTCGGGCGGCTGCAGCATGGGGGGCGGGGGGCGCCCCTGGCCATGGCCCCCCCCATCCTGGTGGCACCCGGGGCGGACCGCCCCCCCCTTAGTACACCACTGGGGTCAACTTGGCCTTCTGCTTAGGGTCATTGTCATGCTGGATAATTCATGCACAGCCTTCGTGCAGAAGAATGCAAATTGTCCGCCAGTATTTTCTGATGACGTGCTGCATTCATCTTGCCATCAATTATCAGAAGATTCTCCCTGCCTTTAGAACTCACACATTACAAACCATCAATGAGCCACCACCATGCTTCACAGTGGGGATTGTATTATTTTCTCTATAGACCTTGTTGACCCCTCTCCAAACATAGCGCTTATGGCTGTGACCATAAAGCTCTATTTTGGTCTTGTCACTCCAAATTACAGTGTGCCAGAAGCTATGAGATGTGTCAAGGTGTTATCGGGCATATTGTAACCAGCTTTTTTGTGGCATTGGCGCAGTAAAGGCTTCTTTCTGGCAACTTGACCATGCAGCGCATTTTTGTTCAAGTATGGTAGAATTGTGCTCTTTGAAACAACCACACCGTCTTTTTCCAGAGTAGCCTGTATTCGTCCTGAGATTACCTGTTGGTTTTCTTTTCTATCCTGAACGATTCTTCTGGCAATTGTGAGTTTTCTGGCATTTTAACCTGTGTGTCACCTTGTCTGTCTGTAACAAGGCCAAACATTTTGTAAACTTTTGATCAGGGCCATTTTGATGATTTCTGTTATCATTATAATTTAAAAATGAGCCAAACAACTACGTGAAAAAAAATGGCTTCATATAATCACCATCCTTCAGTAAAATAAAAAAATGTTTGCATGATCAGTCATATTTTCAAAATTAATGCCAAAATTTCACAATTTCTGCCAGGGTATGCAAACTTTTGAGCACAACTGTATTTAGAATATTACATATATTTACAATGCACTTATATTGGATTAATTTAATGTTCCTCAGTTTAAGCTATATTTGTTTAACACTGGCACTATTTAAGCAGTAAATATTGTAGTTAGCATATTTGTCTCCCATGTTAAAATGAGTGTAGCACCCACCAGTATTGGAGTGCTGTGACGTAGGAGTGAGCTTTACAGAATATGGTCATATGATAGAATCAGTAATTTTAAGTAACCTTGTAAGATTTAAAAAGTAATTTTCTTTGTATGTGTACGCTGTTCATTAATCCCTATTTTGTATAAATGTTGGTATTTACAGCAGCACCACTACAGCATTCCGTGTTCTAACTGTGCCCCCCAAATCGTCATTTTTTTTCGTGGGGGTAGCCACTGACACAGATAGATATACACAGTAAAAAAAAAAAAAGGGTTTTTTTTCTCTCTCTATTATCTACTACTGCTAGTGACTTATTAAGGACCTGCACCTTTACACCTTTTTACCCAGTTATTTTTTGTCATTATCATTACTGTTACTATGATTATTTTTGCTTAGGTCAATACCTATATAGTGTTCATTTTATCTATAATGAACATTTCAACGTTACAATTGTTTATTATTATTATTGTTTAAAATAAAGAAAATATTTGACAAGATAGATATACATAGAATAAGCCTCCATCTCATACAAATAATACAAACAGCCCGAACACTAACACAGTCCCGACAAACACAACACCACTGACAATCCAATACGCAACTCCTCAAGCAGCCTCTCAGATAAAAAACCACGAGCAGCCCCACGCATACACACAGAGCCGGATTGACCCAATGGGATACCGGGAAAATTCCTAGTGGGCTGCAGCACTTGGGGACGGGCAGGCAGCCCTAATACCATTTAAACATAGAAACATAGAATGTGACAGCAGATAAGAACCATTCGGCCCATCTAGTCTGCCCAATAATTTACTCCTCGGAATGTGAGAGTCCGAGGGAAGTAAGGAGGGAGGTGCTGGTGTGGCTGCATTGAGGCTGCGGCGACCAGAGGGAGCACTGTAGGGAGGGAGCTTTCTGTGCCTCTCCTGCACTGCTCTCATGTGTGTCAGTGAGCTTGTCTGTAGTAAGCTTCTGAATGTATACCAGTGAGTTTGTCTGTAGTAAGCAGTAAGCGTGTGTGTATTATTGCATAATTATATTTTTTACATACCAATATCAATAATAAAAGTATATAGTTATATATACACTTCGGTGATAGCCCCACACCTGGTCACACCTCCACTCAGACCTTTACAATGAAAGTGTCCTTTATTTATTTGGAAGGCTTGGAGGTATGATGTTGGGAGGTATGCATTAGGAAAGTATTTGTGCAACGTCCCTTAGTTTAGACCTAAGGGTAATATATTTGGAAGCAATGTGAGAAGGTGTCACTGCATAGAAAGGCAGCTGATAGTATAGCCATCCAGGAGATGTGACACTGTCAAGTGGTGATTATGGTTTGAACTTTTAAACGTGGAGCAGTCACCATGGTAACCAATGACATCTTGAAATGTTCTGACATGTTGAAATATTGTTGCTGATTGCTCCACGTTCAGAACTCTCTCTTAATTATTTTATTTCATTAACCGTTTTTATACTTGGAGTTAATTGTATTATCTGCTGATAGTAAAATACTAAATGAAAATACTATCTATCAAAGTTTGAGACTGAACTGCCAACATCACTTGATTTGATGCACTCAGCAGGTACTATCAAGCATTGCCTTGACACAATTGCAGTAATACAAGCATTTAGTTTCACCAATTTGCACCTCTGATCAGTGACTTATTTACAGCTGCTGGGCATGTCTGTCATTAGAGCAAGTCTTTTAACCTATAATTCTACATTACATGTTGCTAAAGCTATTCACAAAGTGTCTCAACCTATGCACTGAATGACAAGTCCATTAAGAATCTGTGTTCCCTATTCGTCAAAATAGTTCATAATTTACA